TGGGGACAAGGTTGGGGGGGGGGGGGGGGTCGGCACTACTTTGTGACAATGTATAATAAAAGTGTCAAATTTGTGTTACAATTTGGTTGGGGGAGGGGGTGTGGTAAAATATGACAAAATAGTGTGACGTCATTTATATATGGCCCCATATGGCAAGGCACCCACAAAAGCTAAATTTCTTGCAGATAGTCAGATATGAAAACGATGACTCTAGTGATACCGGGTAGTATCTTGTAGAACAATGCCTAGTATCTTGTAGAACAATGCCCCTATCAAGTCTATTTCTTGTGATACCGGGTAGTATCTTGTAGAACAATGCCCCTATCAAGTCTATTTCTTGTGATACCGGGTAGTATCTTGTAGAACAATGCCCCTATCAAGTCTATTTCTTGCATAATAGAAATAGAAAAACAAACAAACCAGGCCCAGAAATTAAAGCATTACATTTTGGTTTAACTAGAAATCCTCACCCGTCATATTAATTGAAAACCAACAGATTTGGAACCCATTCAAAGATTTTTAAAAAATAAAAATTTAGCTGTTTTTAAAAGTCAAAATTGCTCCTACGAATCCACCATAGAAATCAATTTGTTTGAGGTAGAATATTACAATGAGCGCCTCACCACCGTGACCGGAAGCGATTAGGGTAATAGTGTGCTATTTGCTAGTACATTCGTTCGTCGTCCATTAGGCAAAATTGAAAAAAAAAAAAAAAAGGTGTGGGAGACCGGCTGTGGTTAAAACCAGGGAGAGGCACGGTTGTCTATTAGCAGGAGTGAATGAGTTGAAAAAAAGAAGGTCATGGTGTGAACAGTTCGTCGTCAATAAGGCAAAAATGAAAAAAAAAAAAAAAAGGTGTGGGAGACCGGCTGTGGTTAAAACCAGGGAGAGGCACGGTTGTCTATTAGCAGGAGTGAATGAGTTGAAAAAAAGAAGGTCATGGTGTGAACTCTGAACTATTTTTTTTTTTTTTTAAAATCTAAATCTATTGTCAACTTGATATCAATGCTCTTCAAAACTGGGAATTTCCGAAAGGCTGAGCCGGGCTGGGTGTTGTAAGTGTATGGTTTAACAAACAACCAAATTTGCTTATAATATTTTTTTATTTTTTTTTAAAGTTGCTAATGACACATCTCGAATCATTTTTTTTTTCCTTCTTCATATTAAGTAATGCCAAGGACGGGATTATACGCTAGGGACGAGATTATACGCTAGGGAAGGGAAGAAATTCCTTAATTGTCCCAGATTGATTGTTACAGTTCGTGTTTGAAGGTAGGAAATATTAGGGTCAGTGAGGAAGTAAACTTTTCATTTGTTCCGAATATCTTTTTGGAAATGTTCTGAATATTAGGTCGGTTTTTTTCAACAAGCTGTTGACAGATAAGTTTCCCACTCCACCAGGGACCGGTGGATAAGTTCCCCACTCGACAAGAGACCAGTGGATAAGTTTACCACGCTACCAGGGACCGATGCCAGATTTATTTTTAAAAAAGATTTCTCTTTTTATTTGACCTTAAAACATCCATGCCATACATTTTTTTTTATTTGGTTAAAAATCGCTATCAGCCAATATGGGAGTCCTCAATCAACCATTACCATTGAATGCCATCCGTTTTAAGTTATGGCTGTTTAACTTAACTTTTATCCAGTTTAAGGCTTGATATCCACTGCTGTTCTCTGGACCATTTCCGGTCACTGGACCATTGCCGGTCACTGGACCATTGCCGGTCACTGGGCCATTGTCCGTCACTGGACCATTGCTGGCCTTTGGACCATTGCTGTCTCTGGACCATTGCCTGTCTCTGGACCATTGCCTGTCACTGGACCATTGCCTGTCTCTGGACAATTACCTGTCTCTGGACCATTGCCCGTCTCTGGACCATTGCCTGTCACTGGACCATTGCCCGTCTCTGGACCATTGCCTGTCACTGGACCATTGCCTGTCTCATGACCATTGCCCGTCTCTGGACCATTGCCTGTCTCTGGACCATTGCCCGCCTCTGGACCATTGCCTGTCACTGGACCATTGCCCGTCACTGGACCATTGCCTGTCTCTGGACCATTGCCTGTCACTGGACCATTGCCCGTCTCTGGACCATTGCCTGTCACTGGACCATTGCCTGTCACTGGACCATTGCCCGTCTCTGGACCATTGCCTGTCACTGGACCATTGCCGGTCTCTGGACCATTGCCTGTCACTGGACCATTGCCTGTCTCTGGACCATTGCCTGTCTCTGGACCATTGCCTGTCTCTGGACCATTGCCTGTCACTGGACCATTGCCCGTCTCTGGACCATTGCCTGTCACTGAACCATTGCCGGCCTTTGGAACATTGCTGGTCTCTGGACCATTGCCCGTCTCTGGACCATTGCCTGTCTCTGGACCATTGCCTGTCACTGGACCATTGCCCGTCTCTGGACCATTGCCTGTCACTGGACCATTGCCGGCCTTTGGAACATTGCTGGTCTCTGGACCATTGCCCGTCTCTGGACCATTGCCTGTCTCTGGACCATTGCCTGTCACTGGACCATTGCCCGTCTCTGGACCATTGCCTGTCACTGGACCATTGCCGGCCTTTGGAACATTGCTGGTCTCTGGACCATTGCCCGTCTCTGGACCATTGCCTGTCTCTGGACCATTGCCTGTCACTGGACCATTGCCCGTCTCTGGACCATTGCCTGTCACTGAACCATTGCCGGCCTTTGGAACATTGTGGTCTCTGGACCGTTGCCACTCTGTATTGCGCTCAAACGGTATTTCTAACCTAGTTTTTGAATGGAAGGACTGAAGCATAAATATACAAAGAAATAAAATCTTACAGAATAACAATAGGAACATGGCACTCCTCCTTGATGACGCCCCACTCCTCCTTGATGACGCCCCATCCCTCCTTGTTGACGCCCCACTCCTCATTGACGACACCCCAATCCTTGCTGATGACACCCCATCCCTCCTTGATGACTCCCCACTCCTCTTTGATGACCTCATATAGGCATCACCCGGTCGACCCCCCCCCTCCCAATAACCTTGGCTCTTTCATTAACATTATGATACTGAGAATGATCAAGGGAAGTCATGGGTGGCCTGTCATGGTTGGCTGGTCGTGGGTGGCCTGTCGTGGTTGGTCTGTCGTGGGTGGCTTGTCATGGGTGGCCTGTCATAGGCCTGTCATGTGTGGCCTGTCGTGGGTATCCTGTCGTGGTTGGTCTGTCATGGGTGGCTTGTCATGGGTGGCCTGTCATGGGTGGCTAGTCATGGGTGGCTTGTCGTGGGTGGCCTGTCGTGGGTGGCTTGTCATGGGGGGCCTGTCGTGGGTGGCTTGTCGTGGGTGGCCTGTTATGGGTGGCTTGTCATGGGTGGCCTGTCGTGGGTGGCTTGTCGTGGTTGGCCTGTCATGGGTGGCTTGTCGTGGTTGGTCAGTCATGGTTGGCTTGTCGTGAGTGTCTTGTCGTGGATGGCCTGTCATGGATTAGTGGTTTAATTCCCCCCCCCCCAAAAAAAAAGGGGGGGGGGTGGCTGTGGGTCATGTGGTTTTTCCACGTCTAGTTGTCTACACCCGGGATTGGCAGTTGGTGACAGACGACAGTCCTCCAATGTCGGGGCCCCACCCTCTTGTTGTGCTGGACTTTGCACTCTTGAATTAGCCACAGACAATTAGTGTATAAGTTCATTGTAGTGTATGATAAGTTCATTGTAGTATGATAATTTCATGTCAACTTGTAACTTATGGGACGGGCCGCCCCCCCCCCACCCCCAGGACTGTGTGCTGTAAAGGACACACAGACGTGTGTAGCCCACGTGTCAGCACAGGGCCGTGACGGCCTTTTCACCCATGATACCCGTAACACATAGTATTATTAAAGGGAAGACCTCACTGTCACATGACACCTCGCTGTCTCATGGACAACTTGAGCACTCCTCAAATGACAATGACAACTTGAGCACTCCTCAAATGACAATGACAACTTGAGCACTCCTCAAATGACAATGACAACTTGAGCACTCCTCAAATGACAATGACAACTTGAGATTTATTACTGTCCATTTACTTGACCAGTGTTTCTCAAAGTGCGATGTCAGGACATTGGTTCGATCATTTTAAAAAAAATAATTCTTTTATAACCTGGAAGCACAACTTAAGTATAAACACCCTCCCCCCCCCCCCTCCCATTTCCCCAAATAGTAGAAATAAAAAATCATAAATTAAAATAAATTTATAAAATAAAATATGATAAAATATGAATTTGAAAAGTTTATTTTAAAAAAACAACACCAACTCCAAAGAGAGGCGTTGCTGCCGGCAGTCAGGTGTCAACAACGACTTGGACTTGACTAGCCTCTAAAGAGCTCGCGTAGCTTGAGTTCACAGAGTGCAATCAGCTCACCGAGGCCCCACGCTGTGCGGGGGCCAGGAACGGGAACTCTGTCTGGGGAAGTGCTCGAGAATGTTTTTTGTTTGAAGGCGGAACTGACCGATCCTCTCTCTCTCTCTCCCTTCGCTTTCCGATATCTGCCGAGTCAGGCTTGCGGTGGCAAAGGTCACCACTTGTGTGCGGGGTAGGAGGGGGTGGTGGGGAATCCTGGGTTTGGGGGGGGGGGGGCATTAGAACAACAAGGGGGGGGGCATTATAACAACAAGGGGGGGGCAATTAAGGGGAAATCATGCCTTTTGTAAACGATGAAGAGCTTTGCCACAACAAGGCTTGATATGTAGTCGGAGTGCAAACAATCAATGACCACGACTCCCAAGAATCGACTCCAACTTATTTAGTACCGGTAATCAACAGTGACTTTAACTATGGAGTTTAAAAAAAATATGTTTAACGTTATTCTTCGTTAGTTCCAGACGTACATATTGTATAAGACACTGCTAGTATTTAATCGGGTCATTCAATATAAGGCCATTCAATATGGGGCTCATTCAAGTTATCTGACCCTCCTATTTTGTTTCTATCCCATATACTGTCAATAGCAAACACCAACTCATATGTCCATGTCATAAACTGTTATTTGTCTTTGACTATGATACAAATAGTTCAGAAGTGTTGACCCTGTCTTTGACTATGATACAAATATTTCAGAAATGTTGACCCTGTCTTTGACTATGATACAAATAGTTCAGAAGTGTTGACCCTGTCTTTGACTATGATACAAATAGTTCAGAAGTGTTGACCCTGTCTTTGACTATGATACAAATAGTTCAGAAATGTTGACCCTGTCTTTGACTATGATACAAATAGTTCAGAAGTGTTGACCCTGTCTTTGACTATGATACAAATAGTTCAGAAATGTTGACCCTGTCTTTGACTATGATACAAATAGTTTAGAACTTTGACCCTGTCTTTGACTATGATACAAATAGTTCAGAAATGTTGACCCTGTCTTTGACTATGATACAAATAGTTCAGTAATGTTGAACCTTGATTTGTTTTGTTTTTTTATAAAAGTTATTATTACTATTATTATTATAAAATCAATTTTGAAGATATGTTATATTTGACGAGCCAGGCTAGTTGGGGTCGGCATAAGCTATGTTATATTTGACAAGCCAGGCTAGTTGGGGTCGGCATAAGATATGTTATATTTGACGAGCCACGCTAGTTGGGGTCGGCATAAGCTATGTTATATTTGACAAGCCAGGCTAGTTGGGGTCGGCATAAGCTATGTTATATTTGACAAGCCAGGCTAGTTGGGGTCGGCATAAGCTATGTTATATTTGACAAGCCAGGCTAGTTGGGGTCGGCATAAGATATGTTATATTTGACAAGCCAGGCTAGTTGGGGTCGGCATAAGCTATGTTATATTTGACAAGCCAGGCTAGTTGGGGTCGGCATAAGCTATGCTATATTTGACAAGCCAGGCTAGTTGGGGTCGGCATAAGATATGTTATATTTGACAAGCCAGGCTAGTTGGGGTCGGCATAAGCTATGTTATATTTGACAAGCCAGTTTAGTTGGGGTCGGCATAAGATATGTTATATTTGACAAGCAAGGCTAGTTGGGGTCGGCATAGGGCAATGCCGCTGGCCTCTTTCTCCGTTTGCCCACGTGCTCCCAGACTTTGTTATGACGTGTAAATATGTTAATAGAAACGTGGCGTGACGACCGACTAGACCTTCCACTAGACCTTTCACGAGACATTTCACTAGACCTTCCACTAGACCTTGAACGAGACATTCCACTAGACCTTTCACGAGATCTTCCACTAGACCTTGAACGAGACATTTCACTAGACCTTCCACTAGACCTTGAACGAGACATTTCACTAGAAATTTCACTAGACCTTCCACTAGACATTCCACTAGACCTTCCACGACTTGTTAAAGCATTGTATAAACTGATTCATGACCTATGTACATTGTAGGTTATACTGGTTGGGGGGGGGGGGTGGGGGGGGGGGAGAGGGGTTGTCGGACAGTCTCTGATGTTGAGACATGGAAATACATTGATTGTGCTAACATTATAGTGTAAACAGGGTTACTATATACACTATACACCAACTTAACGTCTTTCCTCATACCGTATGACATCTACGATTTTATACCCAATCCAGATCGCCCCTCCCCCAAACCGATTCCTCCTCCCCCCCCCAATTTTTAAAAAATTTAATTTGTTAAAATTGTTAATATCTAAAGATTGAATTGTTAATTTCTTCCCAACATATTCATATACTATTTCTTTTAAAACATTCAGTGTATGATATCTCTTATAGCCATTTTTTTTTTTTTGCTTTTGTTTGTGTATATATACACTTGACCGTTTAAAAATATATGTATATATTATATTATATTACATTTATTAAATGACATGTTTCTAATGAATTATTTTGAGTTTTGGAAATGCTCCAGAAATATTGGAACTGTTTGAACTCCATGTATTTTGTTTTGATGTCAATAAAACCATTGTTGACATTGCGACCCAGAAGGCTGCGGGTATTTTTGTTCCTATTTTGTTTTGGTGAAAACATTGTTGGATTGTAAAAAAATTATTTAAAAAAAAACTGTTGCAAAAGATTTATTGAAGTGAAATAAATAAAAAACATCACACTAAATTAATTGTTGGTTCGATTTTGTCTTTGTAAAGTCATGTATTATTTAGTGTACCTTTTTTATATATACATATATATAGCTTCTGGTGCGCTCTGCCTCCTCAAAACTGCCCCCCCCCCAACTCCATATGTTTTACAGTAATAGTATATGCTGTCACGCAGCGAGCTTCAAGGCTGACCTCTGAACTGCAGCGAGCTTCAAGGCTGACCTCTGAACTGCAGCGAGCTTCAAGGCTGACCTCTGAACTGCAGCGAGCTTCAAGGCTGACCTCTGAACTGCAGCGAGCTTCAAGACTGACCTCTGAACTGCAGCTAGCTTCAAGGCTGACCTCTGAACAACAGCGAGCTTCAAGGATGACCTCTGAACTGCAGCGAGCTTCAAGGATGACCTCTGAACGGCAGCGAGCTTCAAGGCTGACCTCTGAACTGCAACGAGCTTCAAGGCTGACCTCTGAACTGCAACGAGCTTCAAGGTTGACCTCTGAACTACAGCGAGCCACATAACTGGGGCTGCTCACCACAAATAACTGGGGCTGCTCACCACAAATAACTGGGGCTGCTCACCGCACATAACTGGGGCTGCTCACCACACAGAACTGGGGCTGCTCACCACACATAACTGGGGCTGCTCACCACACATAACTGGGGCTGCTCACCACACATAACTGGGGCTGCTCACCACACAAAACTGGGGCTGCTCACCACACACAACTGGGGCTGCTCACCACAAATAACTGGGGCTGCTCACCACACATAACTGGGGCTGCTCACCACACATAACTGGGGCTGCTCACCACACAGAACTGGGGCCGCTCACCACACAGAACTAGGGCCGCACACCACACAGAACTGGGGCTGCACACCACAGAGAACTGGGGCTGCTCACCACACATAACTAGGGCCGCTCACCTCACAGCTCACCACACAGAACTGGGGCCGCTCACCACACAGAACTAGGGCCGCACACCACACAGAACTGGGGCTGCACACCACAGAGAACTGGGGCTGCTCACCACACATAACTAGGGCCGCTCACCTCACATAACTGGGGCTGCACACCACACAGAACCTGGGGTGGGGGTGCGGAAACGCCCAGAGAATCAGTTTTTATTGGCATTTCTATTGACACATTTTGGTATTGTTGAGTACAGTAAATCTGTTTTGAAATCAAGAAAGGGTCGGGTGCTAAACAAAAAAGGATAAGAACCCCTGATGTAGACCCTTGTGCCAAACCTCCCAATTCGCACCACTGCTTGTACAGCCCATAACTAAGTCCTTCAACTTGGATCATTTGTGATGGTGGAGCAAGGGTTAGGGAGGGTTCAACTTGGATCATTTGTGATGGTGGAGCAAGGGTTAGGGAGGGTTCAACTTGGGTCATTTGTGATGGTGGAGCAAGGGTTAGGGAGGGTTCAACTTGGATCATTTGTGATGGTGGAGCAAGGGTTAGGGAGGGTTCAACTTGGGTCATTTGTGATGGTGGAGCAATGGTTAGGGAGGGTTCAACTTGGGTCATTTGTGATGGTGGAGCAAGGGTTAGGGAGGGTTCAACTTGGGTCATTTGTGATGGTGGAGCAAGGGTTAGGGAGGGTTCAACTTGGGTCATTTGTGATGGTGGAGCAAGGGTTAGGGAGGGTTCAACTTGGGTCATTTGTGATGGTGGAGCAAGGGTTAGGGAGGGTTCAACTTGGGTCATTTGTGATGGTGGAGCAAGGGTTAGGGAGGGTTCAACTTGGGTCATTTGTGATGGTGGAGCAAGGGTTAGGGAGGGTTCAACTTGGGTCATTTGTGATGGTGGAGCAAGGGTTAGGGAGGGTTCAACTTGGGTCATTTGTGATGGTGGAGCAAGGGTTAGGGAGGGTTCAACTTGGGTCATTTGTGATGGTGGAGCAAGGGTTAGGGAGGGTTCAACTTGGGTCATTTGTGATGGTGGAGCAAGGGTTAGGGAGGGTTCAACTTGGGTCATTTGTGATGGTGGAGCAAGGGTTAGGGAGGGTTCAACTTGGGTCATTTGTGATGGTGGAGNGGCCAAACTTTTGGCCGCCCCCCTCCCCCCCCCCCCCCCCACACACACACACCGAAAAGGTCAGCAGTTTGGCCGAAAATGCCGCCCCTCGGTATTTAGGGGGGACAAGTGCCACCCCAGGCCAACCGCCCCCCCCCCACGTTCTGGTTGTATGTAGAGTCTCAATAAACTTAGCTCAGGAACACCAACCCCCCCTTCCCCCCCCCTTTTTGATTTAATCCATAAAACATTTGACAACATTAAATACCGTAGTTATGAGCAAAGGGAAAATACATGTTTTTTATTGGCCAATGATCTCACGATAAGCCCTGGCGAGTTTAGTCTGATGACGTCAACCTACATCCGGTCCAACGCGCGCTTCCGGTAAACACCAACAGGTGGGTGGAGGGGGGTGGCACCGTGGGGGAGGGTGGAGGGGGGGTGGCACCGTGGGGGAGGGTGGGACGCCGTGGGTGAGCTCTACCTCACGTGACACGTGTCGCAAGTTACCTGAGGATTTCTGGGGGAAAATCCCCTCAACTCCACGGTCTTCTTATCTTACCCACCTGTGGAACGGTGAGGCAGGATGGTTCTCAAACAGGGGCTCAAGTTTTGGGGGCTTTGAGTTCGATGTGAAGGCTGGACTTTGGTTGTGATCATTCCTCTCATACGAAGTATGTTAACATGTCTTTGGCCAATAGTTAGTACCGGTATGGAATCGTTTTCAACACACACAAAAAAAGATAAATAAATGTGTGTGTGTGTGTAAGAGTGATAGAGTTGTAGCCAGTGATATCATAGAGGGGAAACGAGAGGGAAGGAGAAAGAGAGATGGAGAGAGATAAGATGTTAATAGAGAGGGAGAGAAAGAGTGTAGGATTTAGGTTGTGGCGGGAGCATTGGGAAGAAGGGGGGGAGGAGGTTAACCCACCGCGGGTGGCTATATGTATTGGGGGGGGGGGGGGGGTAGGGGCGGCATTTTCGTTCCGCTGCAGATACTTGATAGTGCTAAAGTTTGGTCTGTATGGCTTGAGGTTTAGATGGTGGTGAGAGAGGGGGTGGAAAATTCAATGAACTCTTGGGGGTGTCACAACCACAAACGTTTCAATCCACTGGAGGGTTGTGAACCTTCCATGTGTCAACCCTAAATATCCCCCTAGGATTGGGGTGTGGCCCCGGGGGTGGGGGAGGGGGTGCCTTAGCTTTCTTTGATCAAACGTGTTCGGGAAAAACGAAGAACGTGAAAATATGACACTAGGCTGCATGTCTATTTGAGGACCGCTGTGTTAGGACCGGAATCATCATCATAACTTAATGAATGACACTTTTGGTTGTTTGGGGATTCAGCTGTCATCACTACCCTGAACATCTACCACGCCAGGGGTTCTTAGAGATTCAGCTGTCATCACTACCCTGAACATCTACCACGCCAGGGGTTCTTAGAGATTCAGCTGTCATCACTGCCCTGAACATCTACCACGCCAGGGGTTCTTAGAGATTCAGCTGTCATCCCTACCCTGAACATCTACCACGCCAGGGTTCTTAGAGATTCAGCTGTCATCACTGCTCTGAACATCTACCACGCCAGGGTTCTTAGAGATTCAGCTGTCATCACTACCCTGAACATTTACCACGCCAGGGTTCTTAGAGATTCAGCTGTCATCACTGCCCTGAACATCTACCACGCCAGGGTTCTTAGAGATTCAGCTGTCATCACTGCCCTGAACATCTACCACGCCAGGGTTCTTAGATATTCAGCTGTCATCACTGCCCTGAACATCTACCACGCCAGGGTTCTTAGAGATTCAGCTGTCATCACTACCCTGAACATTTACCACGCCAGGGTTCTTAGAGATTCAGCTGTCATCACTACCCTGAACATCTACCACGCCAGGGTTCTTAGAGATTCAGCTGTCATCACTGCCCTGAACATCTACCACGCCAGGGTTCTTAGAGATTCAGCTGTCATCACTACCCTGAACATTTACCACGCCAGGGTTCTTAGAGATTCAGCTGTCATCACTACCCTGAACATCTACCACGCCAGGGTTCTTAGAGATTCAGCTGTCATCACTGCCCTGAACATCTACCACGCCAGGGTTCTTAGAGATTCAGCTGTCATCACTACCCTGAACGTCTACGGTACCACACCAAGGGTTCTTAACATTTTTTTTTTTCAAATGCCGCACCCTTCTTAATTTCAAGACCCATTTGCCAGCACCACAATGATGACAATAAAATTCTAAATAAAAATCCAGAAATAAACCTTATATTTCATTGCACACCCATTGACACTGGCTCCTGCACCCCAGGGCATGCGGG